CACGATCGGTAATTTGGTACCAGTTTTGACAACAATAGTACCACTTCTTTCTCTGAGTAGTACCTGTTTTTATTAAATTGGTACCAACTTTTGGTCAACAAAAATAGATTATTCAATTATGGTCAACATTTGCAATAATTGGTACCAGACCTAGAGTAAGATAGTACCACTTTTATATTCCTGTAGTACCGGATATTGGGTCTCCAATACCACTTGTAACAAACACAAAAACATCGAGTTTCAGTCTCAAATAATGTTTATATGACCAATAATCACTCTCACATTAGTTTGTATGAAATTTAATATGTTTTAAAATTGGGTTTAGTCGCGAATTGGTCATGAACTCGACACACTCATGTGAAAACACTACTAGTACGCTTCATTTCATTGAATGACACACTTCAACTCATAGAATCTTCATACATGACTACTTCGAATTCTACCTATATGTTTAACTTCCATTATTTTTCATCAAAATCATGCGTGAACGATCCACGTGTCATGGCAGACATGAAGGATTAAAAAAGTCACAATTATTAAAATAGTACCTGTTTTATCAAATGTAGTACCGCGTATTCTTCTACATGGTACCAGTTATTGATCAATTAGTACCAATTTTTGGTCAACGAAAATATATTATTTCAATTTTGGTCAACATTAACAAAAAGTAGTACCAGACATAGAGTAATATAGTACCAGTCTTCTATTGTTGTAGTACTTGATATTAGGTCTTCAGTACCACTTGTAATTAACACATAAAAACACTGAATTTCGATTTCAAATGATGTTTATACGACTCATAATCACTCTCACATTAGTTTAAATGCGATTTACAATGTTTTTAATTGAGTTTAATCGTAAAATGGTCATGAACTCGACACACTAACGAGAAAACACTACTAATACACTTCATTTCATTGAATGACACACTTCATCTCATAGAATCATCATACATGTCTACTCCAAATTCTACCTATATGTTTTAACTTCCATTATTTTTCATACAAACCACGTGTGAATGATTCACGTGTCATGGTAGACATGAAGGATTAGAGGAATCAAGATTCTTAAAACAATACCTGTTTTAGCCAAAATAGTACCGCATCTTCTTCTACGTGGTACCTCTTTTTGATCGATTAGTACCTACTTTTCTAATCAAAAAATGATTATTCAATTTTGGTCAACATTTACAAAAACTAGTACCAGACATACAGTAAGGTAGTACCAGTTTTATATTGTTGTAGTACCTGATATTAGGTCTTTAGTACCACTTGTAATGAACACATAAAAACACTAAATTTCGGTCTCAAATGATGTTTAGATGACCCATGAACACTTTCACATTAGTTTATATGAGATTTAAAATGTTTGTAATTGAGTTTAATCATTTAATGGTCATAAACTCGACTCACTAATGAGAAAACACTACTAATACACTTCATTTCACAGAATGACGCATTTCATCTCATATAATCATCATACATGACTACTCCAAATTCTACTTATATGTTTTAACTTGCACTATTTTTCATCCAAATCACACGTGAATGATCCACCTGTTATAGTAGACATGAAGGTTTAAAGGAAGCACAATTCTTAAAATAGTACCTGTTTTAGTCAATATAGTACTACATCTTCTTCTACGTGGTACCTCTTTTTATCGATTAGTACCTATTTTTTTGAACGAAAAGGGACTATTTCAATTTTGGTAAACATTTACAAAAAGTAGTACCAGACATAGAGTAAGATAGTACCAGTTTTATATTGTTGTAGTACCTGATATTGGGTCTTTAGTACTACTTGTAATGAACACATAAAAACACCAAATATCGATCTCAAATGATGTTTATATGTCCTATAATTACTCTCACATTAGTTTATATGAGATTTAAAATGTTTTTAATTGAGTCATGAACTCGACACACTAATGAAAAAACACTACTAATACACATAATTTCATTGAGTTAGACAGTACCCATTAAATGTTAGTTTAAGACCCAATATCGCGTATTCAGTACCAATCCCGACGAACATAAATAAACATTGAATTTCGGTCTTAAATGATGTTTATATTACTCAAAATCACTTATACATTAGTTTTATGAGTATTTGAATGTGTTTAATTAAGTTTAATCGACAAGTGGTCATGAACTCAATAGAGCTTTAATTTTGAAATTTAGAAATATTTTGATTTTATTTTTAGATAATTTTTATTTTATGGAAACAAATTTGTATTTTAATTTCAATATGAATAAAAATCATCCATTCATATGTCCACAACCGCAACATTCTATTTTTATTGCGATTAAAATCACTTAGGCGAAACATTTCATATATGAAACTGATAAACATGATGTATCACGCATTAAATTAGGCATAAGCTCTAGTTGATCTCTCTTATGGTATTCCCGCTCATTTTGAAAGGGATTGACGCACGAAGTTTCACAATAAAATATAATCTCGCCTTAACGACCCTTTATATTGAAGTTAATTATATTCCTTTTGGTGTTTTAAAATGTTTATAACGTAATTCGTCGCGTTTTGTCTCATATACTACGCAACATAATAGAAATTCGTGTTGCGTAAGCTATTACAGTATAAAATTTTGTTTGTTAAAAATATCAAATATTTGCATATAATAAAATTGAGTTGTTAATTTAAAAAATTATTTTAATAATATTATATGACACCAAATTTTAGAGTAAGATAATAGTTGAGTACTATGATTAATGAAATGAGGGCAATTTTTTTTTTGGCATGAAATGTCCAAATTTAAATTATATGAATTTCATTTGGTATGGATAGAAGTGTATTTATTTTTAAAATAAAATAAGTGGTGTGAATTTTATTTGGTATGAGTATGAAAGTCGAATTGTAGGCTGATTTGTTATAAAATCAAGGTGATATAATTCTCAATTTTTAGCATATCCCTATAATTACTTGTCATAAGATATTAATTATAATTTTATAAATAGCCCCGATATATAATTTTCGGATGTCTTGAGCCTAAGTGGCAGACTCATATGCTTCATAAGTTTATTTGACATAATTATATGCTTTGTATTGACACATATACATGTTCGGTTTTAGACTTGAGAATTACCATAAACTATTTTAGGTTTTTTTTTTTTTTTTTCTCAAGTTACCATATACTACTCTTACTCTTTCTAATTTAATTCATATAATAATTGTTATAATAAAGATGTATTCTTTTTATTTTTAAATCTTTATAATTTATTATTTTTATTTTTTTTTTTTGTATGTTATATATCAAAATAATAATATTTTATTGATCTTCGATTTGACATCCATATTGCATATACAAAATAAAAAATAATTACATCTATCATTATAAATAAATCTATATTTATTAAAAAAAATAATTTCAACAATATGAATACAACCTAAATTATTTTATAACAAATATAATAAAAATCTAATTCAGTAATACACCATAAAATAATCATTTTAATGCGTTTTAGCATAGATTTTAAATAAAAAAGTAAATTAAATGTAAAAATATGGACCCCATTTTGAATTAATTATTACTTTGTCAGTTATTCATAATTTTTATCTATTCATGATATATAATTTTAAAATATAAAAATAAATTATTTAGTTTTTCTACTGTACAAGTATTAATATATTTACTACACGGGTATCGTACTAGCTGATATATATTCCACTTGAAAATTAGATAGATCTTTAATATATATATTTTAATGAAATTAAAAACTAAAAATTTAATTTAAAAAATTAGTTGATAAATTTGACCGACAAAAATATAGATGTATAGATTTAGTATAATATAGATTTATATGAAAAAGATTAATAAAATATAATTTTATTTATTTGGATAATTTATAAAATAAATCTACATTAATTAATAAAACATTAATAAAAATTAGTAATATAAGATGATAAAAAGAAAATAATAAAAAAATATATGAAAAGAGAGAGAGAAAAAATAATAAAAAATTAATAAAGTTTGTAGTAGAAAGAGAGAGAATAATAAAATAATATGTAAAGTTAGGTTGGTAGTGAGATGATGTCATTTGTGTTTTTATTTTTTATTTATTTTAAGAAGAGGGAGTTAAATGGAAGTTGTTTATGGGAATAGAGAGTGTAGAGTAAAAAAATTTGTGTAGGGACTGAAGAGGAAAAGTGAAAAAGGTTTAGGGATTTATAAGAAAGTTTCCCTTATATAAATCTCTATTATTATATTTTTAAAATTAAGTAAAAATTTCTTACCACTCGTGTGGTAAATTTTACCAATTTTTTTTTTCAAATAATCTTGTTACCAATCATTATCAAATTATTATTTTGTCATCTTCATATTATACCAAACATAATTTTTTTTCACATTAATATTTCTAAACCAAAAAAAAAATTAAAAAAAAAAATCATATCCAATCTACATTTTTTTTTTTTCAAATAAATATATTAAATTTGACCCCTTATTGTAAATCCATTAATAAATTGAATTCGACCCTGCAGTCCTTACCATCGTCGCTTCTCATTCCCACAATAATGCTTCTGAATTTATAACACAAGAAAATGAAAACAGAAGCCAAATGAATATGAAGCTATTGTTGATCAAATCTTACAACAAAGATTTCTCTTCTTCTATGGATACCATCTCTTTCTTGACAGCTTCAAGAATCCATTCTCTGCTACAGTTTCAAGTATTCCAATTTCACTCCTTTCATGAAAACAGCAAATGGACTCGAAAAACAGAAGAAAAATTCAAAGCTTCAAGAAAGAAGAAAAAGAAATCGACGACATAGGGTTTTGCACGTGACGACCGACCGGGAATGCCTCTTACTCGCTCGGAAGACTAATTTGGCCCTCTGTACAATAAACAAAAAAACACGTCGTTCCACATCTCCCAACTTTCCGATTCCTCAAAACGTTATATTAACACCCGACGAGACAAAGGAATTCCCATCAACAGAAAGAATCAGAACACCCAAAGAATGAACTCTAATCCCAAAACTATGTCACAAGCACGTGCTCGAATTCATGTTCAGATCATCGAGAAGCTTATCGATCGACTCCCCAAACTTCTTCGCCTGTGGGCCTGGCTTCACAACGTTAACGTCCCCCCACTGCAAACACGGGTCCATCAACCAGCTCCTCCGGCCCGTGCACCACGCACCAGGCGTAGCCCGATTACGGGCCCGCATGAGAATATTCTTGTCTATCATGTCCAAGACAGGCCCATCCTTCTCGAATTGTCGGGCGAAAGCAGCTCCACTCTGGACCATCTCGTCATAATCAGAGACGTTGAGAAAATGAGGCTCCATCTTGGGTGGATCGTCCCACACGAAATACCGAAGGTCAGCATTAACGGTTGTGTTTTTGAATTCTTGGGAATTGCAGATGACAGAGTGGAAGTAGACCTCTTGGGCTAGAACGACGTTTGTGGCGTACATTAGAAGGGTACGAGGTAGGTTGTCCCAGCCGAAGATGCAATATTCGAGGAAGGATCGACTTAAGACAACCCATGGTGAACCTAGAAAATGAGCAAGAAAAAAAATAGACATGGCATTAGGAGCATGTAATAGTCCAACTACAATTGCTACCGTTCACTAGAATGGCATTAGGAACATGAACTTGCATTTCTACCCCACTAACACCTAGAGGGTGACAATTTAGTTGTTCCGACTAATTCATGTTGCAATTTCAGTTATTACAGATTCTAGCCTTAGTCAAAATAGCTATAACTTTGATTGACATTTTTGGACATTCTGATACTAGTGAGCATTTTGGGAATAAATGAAATGCTTAAACAGCCATCTGAGCCGAAAAAAAAAAAAAAAGAAAGAAAGAAAAAAAAAGAAAAAGCACCACTTCAGAACTTATACAGGACTAGAATTGGAAAAGCTCAAAACCTAAAGAGACCAAATTGGGACACCTCATAGCTATTGGACCAATATTGCAATTAAGCCAAAATGAGCAAAATTTACCTGTGAACACCTTGAAAGCATCTGGCATTGGCCGCTTTTCAGTTGCGTGAAATATTTGAGCCCTCCGGGCCAAATAAACACCCGGATCCACTACAATCGGTTGAATCCTTTGACCTCTGGAGTGACATTGAGTTTAAAGACATAATAAGACAATGAATTTAGAGAATTTAATAAATATTTAAGACTATAAGTGTTGAGGATTTGCGCACTCTTTCCATCCCAGGTCACTAGTGTGATCGATAAAGTTCAGGTCTCTCCTAATTGACGAGAACACATGGGACATGTCTGGGAAGCAGAGGAAAAAAAATGACAGAGAAAAGAAATCAGCACATTATCTGTAGTAGGGAAATTCAGGAATTAAATAGTTGATAAAAGCTATATAAATATTTCTATACGTATGAGTAGAAAACTTTTAAACAGACATTTTGGCGAAGACTAAAAAACCAATATCGTAGCAATACAACGACAAACGCAAACATCATACGAGAGGACAACTTGATCAGACAATACAGAGTACAATGTACTGATTGCCAAGTACAAAATATTTTATGGTTTTGTGTAATGAGGATCTTGATTTCTGATAAAGTTATATGATGATACCAATTTGCGAAACCAAGAAAATGCATTTTCACCCTTGAGAAGAAAAAATATATTTACAGAAGAAGGCATCCAAGTAATAGGTAACCGTATAATACTATTCTATTTCCTCAAATACTGACCCATTACCAGAAAAATTACCAAATATTTTGATGCATAGCTCTACTTCCAACTATAGACGCTCTGTAAATCAAAGAACCACGTCAAAAGTGGTCCAACTATAGAACTTTATACAATGAGTGCAATAAAAATTGTAAGTATATAAGAAGATAGAAGCTCCAATAACTTGGACCTAATTTTCAGCTTACCAAACTATTATGCATATGGGTCAAGATTACTCTCCAAATTAAATGGAAGATGATATTCAAACAAATAATAACAAAAAATAAATCAGAAATTGAATAAGAAGCTACTGATAAACGTGTCTTTTCCCTATCTTGTTCTTTTCCATTTTTTCATTACTTATTTTGATAACTAACAGCTACAATCAAGACTTAAAAGTTCCTGAGAGAGAAACAGGCCGAATAACATTCACCATAGAGTATAACAATGTAAGGTCATTTTGCGACTAGCTGTCACAGTCTAGATTCAATATTCTGCTTCAATAAATGGCTTGAATGACTAATCTCGTCAAAGCCTCAAAGCATAATTATAGAGCATTAGACTGAAGACAATGCATGCCACAGGACTTTCCAAAAGACTAAAACACATCAAACTAGAATATAGAGACAGATAAGGATGTGCCTATATGCTCAAGAAACAAAACAATTCCAGGATGTTTCAGAGTAGAGCTAAAAGTCACGTTAAGAAAAAGGTACACATTCAGAAGCACAACGATCTACTTTACATACAGATTCTGAAGTTTTCTTTTAATTAGCAGTTGCTTTAAAAAAAAAAATGGTTAGCAAAGTGCCCCTAATAACTACCATAGCCAGAAAAGTCCGTCCAATCGGGTCCTAGAAAATTCAATGAACTATATATGTGCTGAATCTATATGAAATAAAGATTTTTTACATATTTTCATTCTCAAATTCTAAAAGTACCAGTACTTGTTGATGATCCAGGACTAACAACAAATTCAAGAATTGTTTTTGAGGAAATGCATAAAATTAGACGAGTAAAAGAACTTGGAAGTTATTTCTAGTGCAGAGTATCAAGTTTCCCCAATCCAACACAATCAGTCAAACACCGAGGAAAAGAAAAAGGCACAAGACATTCAAACAATCCTCCAAATGTCCCAAGTATAACTGAGAACACAAAGCCAATGACACGACTTTGAGGTAAAACTTGAAAAACAACTTCAATGCAGCAATCGTCTTAAATCAACAATAACAAATCATAACTTATAACATCCAATAACAGGTACATGTGTACATTTACAAGAACCCCAAAAGTAAAAAGAAAAATAGAAACTTTCAACCAGCAACTCAAAAAAACAAACTGGACATGAAAACCTTGGCAAAATACGAACTCTCTGCTACTAAAAAGATGAAAACTTAAACAGATATGAATCCCTGCATCTTCTTCTTCTTCTTCTTTTAAGATAATTAATCCCCACATACATAAAAGAAGGAAAAACATACCATCCTGCGTGACCAGCGGGTAATCCATGGCGCTGAGAGTAATAAACCAATCCCAACCACCGTCCAGCTTCAGCAAAACCGCCGCCGCCCTGAGGACAGCCGCCAGGTTCGTGGATCCCATGTACGTGTTCGGATCGGGCTTCCCAATCACATCCACATTCCCAAAGGCCCGGACGGCCGGCACGGATTTCACCAGCGTCCCTAACCTGAGCCTCTCCTCATCACTACCGTCGGCCGATATATGCAGCAGATACCTATTCCTCGGGTGGTACACCGCCAGCAGGAGGCGGAACAGCCTCTCGCCCTGGCCTCTTGAGCCCGATATGTAGTAAGCAAAGGACGGCGGGTGGCCCGGCCCGTGATTCACCGTGGTCGCGAACTGCTTGTGCGGCGGCAGACCGTAGTAATACGGGAAGCTGAAGCCCATTATGAAGGACAGGAATATTAGGAAAGTGATGAAAGCCCCCGAAAACAGGATGAACAGCCATTTCTTCTCAGCTCCCATCCAGATTCAACAACGTAAATTGAAAAATGCAACTGTAAAATCCAAAAAATTGAGCAGGGGATTCCAGATTTGGGAATGTCAAGTGGGATTCAATGGCTTTTCAGACAAATGTCGGAAATTGTTCATCCGGGACGAAGCGCGGGCGGCGAACGGGGTTTTCCGAGGTGACGATTTCGAAATTCTCGAACTCTTTTGGGGATTATTGCGATAATTTTTCTCAGGAATTAGGGTTTGATGCGAGGGGAGTTGGATTTAGGTGGGAGGATGGAGAGGGGTGAGAAAAGAACGGAAACAATGAACGAGTATTGAATGAAAAGACGGCCTTTTTTTTGTTTTTCTTAATCTGTCGTGTTAATCTTTTGGGAAATGTGACGGTTATCGTACTATCCCGTCGGGTGTTTTAATTACTAAATTCACATATATTTAGATAAAACAGATGATCTAACGATTAAAACACACGACGAAATAGTGGGCATTTTAATAGTTGCATCTACATATAGTTAGATGAAATAAATGATCTAACGATTAAAACACACGACGGAATGGTATAGTAACATAACGTAGTATTTCCTTCCCAATCTGTTGTTCGATTTTTTGAAAACAATTTTGGTGCGACTTTATTACAATTTTTTTATTAATTACTTCATTGAAAGTACTACGTAACTCAAGAGCGCTTGGATGAGATGACTTGGATTTCTTTCAGCTTAACCAGTGGTCTCGTGTTTGAGCCCCAGCAGTATTAAAAGTCTTGAGGGAGAGCTTTGCCACCCTTGTGGTCCTACTCGACTCGATTCCGGATCAGTCGATTCTCATGTGGATTCGAAAACCGGAAGGTCCATGTAAAAAAAAAAAAAGTAGTACTTACTTAATTGTACTACTTTGTTCAGGAAGTTTTCCATTTCCGATAATTCTCACGTTCTTGAGTGGCGCGTGCGGAACACTGATAGCATTTAATACTGTCGGTGAGGGGCTTTTCACGCTTTTGATAATGCAAGTGTCGAATGTTTGACAAATTTTGTGTGTTCACTTCAGTGTTGCTTTTCACGTCTGTAAATTAAACTTCCCTTAATTTTGGTGTTTCCTTGTGATAATTTATTTTCAAAAATCCTATAAATCATATGTACATTCACTTGTTTGTTTGCTTTGTTTTTACCTAACAAATTATATAGACATGGCCAAAACCCGGTTTAAACATGTTTCGAGCCATATTATAGGGGCCATGACTAGCCCGAGAACATATACGGGCCTATTCAATGAATTGGCGGTTTCGAGTCAGTTCATGAACCACCGGTTCCGAGCCGGTTCAATTTATTACAAAAATAAAAAAAAAAAAAAAAAAAAAAATTAAGTTGAATCGTCGGTTTTGATTTCAATTCGGAACCGAACTGCCAGTTCAAAATTTATAATTGCTTGAACCGGAACTGCTAGTTCAAAGCTGGCGGTTTCGAGCAAGTTCATGAACCACCGGTTCCGAGCCGATCCAATTTATTACAAAATAAAATAAAAAAAAAATTAAGTTGAATTGTCGGTGTCGATTC